AAAAAAAATTTTTTTTTTATTCCAAATTCTTTATGGATATCAGCCATTATCACCCTTTTCTCTACCCATTGTGTTCCTTTTGTTATGGTCATCTGCCTCACCTTTTTTAGTGCTAAGATTGGTTAAGAAGGGAGCAAAAAAAAAAAAAACAACCCAAGCCAGATCACATACTTATAGCATTCTGGTCAGATCACATACTTATAGCATTCCGTTGATTATATCTGCTCCTAAGCTGAGCTATGGTTGATTTGGAGATCCTTGAGGTCTTGTGCTTTCCCAATCCCTTAAGGTTATTCTGATTGTTTTTAGAACATTTCTAACAGTCCCAGAGTGCTAGTAGTTGGTTCCTCAAATGTTAGAGCTCCAGCTTCTCTGCTTACAACTCAGACTCACAAGTTGCACTATTTCTGGAAGCCACATTTAGAGCTGTGAATATAGGCCAAATGGTCACGGTGGTAGCTAGTAAGGAACTAAGAGCTGTCCAGTCTCAGGGTAGGTATTGTGTTTTTCTATGTCATCAAAAGAGGATGGTTTAAAAAAAAAAAAAAGATTGTACTCTCTTCTTTCAAACCCTAATATATAGCATCCTTTTCCAATTCAGATGCTTCAGGAAACGTGAAAATCACCTATTTCTTAAACCTTTCCCCAATCCACTAGATAAATACTTTTTAGAACTAGGATGTAGGGAATGAAGCTTGGAAAAAGAAGAGAACTTGATTGCCATGTTTCTCCATATCTGAAGGCATAGAATTGATTTTTTAAAAAAATATTTTTTTAGTTATAGATGGCAATACCTTATTTATTTACTTTTACATGGTGCTGAGGATTGAACCCAGTACCTCATATGTGCTAGGCAAGTGCTCTACCACTGAGCTACAACCCCAGCCCATGAAATTGATTTTTGAGAATGAACTTTTAAAAAAGACTGATATTCTCCTTTGGTATCTCTATTTAGATCCTTTGGGACTTAGTTAAAATTGCAAATCATCTGTCTTTTTTGAGTTGTATAGAATAAGCAGACTGTGAATAGTTCACAGAATAAGAGTGAGTGGGGGGCTGGGGTTGAGGGCTCAGCAGTAGAGTGCTTGCCTAGCACGTTCAAGGCCCTGGGTTTGATCCTCAGCACCACTTAAAATATTGTGTCCAACTAAAAAATAAATATTAAAAAAAAAAGAGTGGGGCTTAAGTTATCTCCCTTCCTAGGATTTTACAATAGAAAAAGGTAGACATTTCTCTTGCTGAGACATTTTATATGCAGCTCTTCCTAAAAGTAAAAGAGTGGGAACTAGCCTAACTATAATTCTGAGCTTTAGAAACCTTATCCCTTTTCCTTTGTCTCCTTCAGTTGGCCCTGGAACCAGACTCTCCCTGTACGTTCCTGTCTGCAGGTGAAGATGCAGTTGTCTTCACTATTGACCTGAGACAAGATCGGCCAGCTTCGTGAGTATAGCAATAATATTTATAAAATTCCATTCCTTGGCCTTGAAAATATTTCTTTTTTAAAAAATATTTTTAGTTGTAAGATGGACAGAATGCTTTTATTTAATTTATTTATATGTGGTGCTGAGTATTGAACCCAGTGTCTCACACATGCTAGACAAGCGCTCTACCACTGAGCCATAGGCCCAGCCTGGACTTGAAAATATTTCATGTGTCCCAATAATGCTCAGCTCTCAGGTCCATCAGAATAATACCTTCGTGTCTATGGTAAGAGATAGTTTAAGGTTTAGAATTCCTTACTTTTTAGGCCTGTTTCTCAGCAGTTTGCTTTCATTTCTCAGATGGCGTTTTTTATATGTGGGCTTTAATAACTTGAACTCATCCTTTCCAGCCACTTAGGTGCCATTCATCTTATTTATAAGAAGCATTACATATTAGTTTAGAGAGACAGGATCATATAAATTTTCAGTTCAGTTTATATTATAGAGAATCATAAGATAGACCTTGAAAAATATATTGGTAGCTATGGTAGAGTTCTGACATACCACAGCTCATTTGTACATGAATTTGAGACACATAATTTACGTATAAATTATTTTAATTCTGTGATACCATAGAAAAAAGCACAGCATCTTGTTTGGATATAGGTAGACCTGTCCTAGTTCAAATCTTAACTCAGGCCCTACTAGTTATGACCTATGTAATATTTTTGAACCTCAGTTTCTTTGTTTTTACAA